CGTCCGAAACTATCAAAAGTGGACTCTCGTGAGGTAAATGGCATCAACTGCACTTATACACGACCATTCATGATACAATACCCTGGTACCGGCCGTTTCGCCTGGTTATATACTGTGAGTGATATAAGAGGATCAAGGCAGTTCTATTCGTCTGGCGAGATAGGCGGTGAGACGTGCTTCGAGACCTTCGAAAGTTACGAATGGAAAAATCGGACGGTGAAGCGCTTGGCGAAGGAGAATCCTGTAGTCACCACCGCGAATAGTTTGTGCGCGGGAGGTGAGCTCGTCCTCAGCATGGCTGCGGAGGAGCCTGCCCCTAATGGTGTTTACTACGGCTTTAGCGAGGATGGTTTCGAAGCAACGATCAAATTCGATGGACGGTCGCGCATCAAGGAAGTCCGAGTGAACGATCCGCAGGGAGAAGTCACTAAGTTGATCTTCACTATGATCGGAAAAGCGATAAAGTCCTATTTTGGCATACCAGGAGAGACCAGATTTGTCAATCTGATCGTCGAGCCTGTTGACCGCACCAAATTTGATGGCACGAAGGAAAGCTTCCATGGCGCTCGACTGAATACTATGGTCGGGCAGCCTTTCGACAGGAGCCATCTAAGGAGACTGTTTGGCCTCAAGGAGCCTGGCAAGCTCAAGCGTATGCGGTCACGCATTGCCAGGAGCATTACATCGATCAGGAAACCAGGGGCCTTTCTGCACAGACGCACGATGCGAGACGGAATGGAGGAAAGACTCCTCGCACAGGACGATACCGATTTAGAACTCGACAACCCAGCTACGATGATGGCCGACTACGTAGATATATAAACGACGGTAAGTTTTTCACAGCGTTGAACGCTTAACCGGAATACTGATCATCTCTCAGGGTTGAGTGCGCTACTAGCGCAGCGCTAGTCTAACGTCATTAACTATCCAGGCACCAAGTTCACCCAAATAGATGTCTCCAGAAACAGACGTTGGGATATGTATAAGGGAAAGTGTTGATGTTGCACATGTTGTCGCGTTGTTAAGGTTTTTGGTTCGAGTGGCCAAATCTGGCGGCTAACAATGCAACTGATAGTTTATTCCTAATTTTCCATACACCATGTAATAATGTATGTCTAATTCCGGGTTTCTAGACCTCGAAGTTACCACTGTGTGGAAAACACAAACAGTGATAGAGCGTCCTAATCATTTGTGCCGGTTCTGCGCAGTGCGCACGCTGGGAAATTCGCGGCCCGGATATCAACAAACGAGAAAGAGTATTTCAGATTTCCATAATCAGCCACTGAAATCGACCCGCCCATGAGCATCATCCATTTTCACTTTGCCTCATCATCTATCAGAGCATCATACTCCTTCAGACTCCGAGCAACAGCAGGTTCAGATAGACCGGCAGTACGCTTCATGACTGAGGATACTTCCAAACCTTGGCAATGCCAAGTTTACATATAAGACCATAAAAAGTAATAGGCTTCATGTTTGAGATTTTATATAACAACACGGAATATCGAAGAAGAAAATATCTTCAAGTAAAGAGAACGTATACTTCCATTTCGCTGCTCCGGGTTGTATATGCTCACAACTTGTGAGCATCTGCGACTCACAGAGTTTCATGCGGATGAAAATATGAATTTTGGGATATTTTCCCACGGTGATTCATGATGAATCATTCATCGACGATGAAGTATAGGGAGAAATTCTCATTCTTTTGCAA